ACTATAACAATAATGATATTAATATTTGTATATATCTTATTAAATATTATTATTTTTTTATATATTTTATATTAACGAGGATAATACTTCTGTCGACAAGTGTTTAAAAAAAAAGAACTACCAACTGCTATGTGATATACATTCATGATGCAAAAATTTGTAATTAAACAAAAATCTGAAGACTAAATCTTTTTAGGGTGGACTTATTAGTTTCATTAACTTCATTTATTTAATTTTTTGGTTATTTTTTTATTTTAATATTTTTAATTATTTGTTTTCAATTTTTTTAGAATAGATTCATTACGTTGGTTAAGTTCATTTGTTTAAAAATTTAATTATTTTTTTAACATTTGTTTGTTATAATAATTTGTTTTAATTTATTTTAAGAATTATTTTAATTATATTATTGTTTTTTTGTCCATTGTAATGTATTTAATAAATATTTCATTTGATTATATATTTTAAACATACATATATTTTGATAAATATTATTAAAAGTCACCATCAGTAAAACATTGAAATAAACTTCTCAAACATATTTATTAGGTTTAATTATAATTTTGGTCATGTTTTCTTTTTTTTGTTGATGCTACGTCCCCAATTTATTCTACTCCCCTGTACATAATTGTTTAAAAAATTATGAATTAAAAAAAAAACTGATTTTCAATATCTTTTTAGTGAATCTTTTTTTTTTTCTTTCCGTTTTCTTCATGTTACGCCCCCAATTTATTCTACTCCCCTATGCATAATTGTTTTTTGTTATTTATTCATGAGAAAAGAAGTAATGCATTGGAAGTATAAAATAGTTTTTACACTTTCAACTAATTATAATTATGTATTTAATTATATCTTATTTTTATTTTTATTTTTTTTTAATGATATGATAAATTGTTTATTTTCTATTGGTTGTTGTGTAAAAAAACTTTACGCTAAATGTCATGTTTCCAACAAGACTTATAATGCACTAAATTGTTGTGTAAAAAAACTTATAATGTCATGTTTCCAACGAGACTTATAATGTACTCCATTCGTTTCAAAATGATTTCTTTAAAATTTTTACACACATATTAAAAAATACAATAATATTGTAATAAGACACTACATTTTTATAAAATTAATCTTATTAATATATTGAAAATAATGTTAAGAGTAAAAAGTAAAGAGCACAATTAGAAAAATGATAATTATTACTATATTGAAAAGTAAAAATGATAGTAATTTTGAAACAAATTTTATTTATTAAAGCGACAGTCATTTTGAAACAGAAGGAATAATTTACAAAGAAATTTTACAAAATTTGAGATAGCCCAGTTTTACATGTAAATATTTGATCTTATCGGATCAGAATTGGACCGTCACAACTGGCTTCGGGCTGAGCTTGAGTGAGATTGGGGGGGGGGGGGGGGGGGGTTACCTGCAAGACACTTCGATGGTAAAGTGAGAAGCGGAATGAGCAAGCAAGTATGAGTTTTAGATGTGTGAATGAATACCCGACCCTCTTGTGAGAGAGGGTATTTATAGCCCCCAGCGCTGGGCCAATCACTACAAGAAAATTAGTGTTTAACGACACAAAAATTGCGACAGTTATGTGATAACTGTCGTAATTGACATATAGAGACAGTGTTTACGACAGTTGACACCAACCGTCCCTAATATTTATTTTGCGACGGTATATTTAACCATCATAATATTATTATTACGACGGTAAAACAACCGTCGGCCCCCATTTAACACTTTTAACATTGATTTTTCACCAACAACTAGTCACGACGGTAAAATTAACCGTCCTAAAAGGCATATCACGACGGTAAAGCACCCGTCGCACCCTTAAACCTTTCACGACGGTAAAATTATCCGTCCTAAAATTCATTTCACGACGGTAAAACAACCGTCGCACCCAAAACCTTTAAAAAAGTTTAAAATTAAAATATAATTTATTCTGATACAAAATTGTGATTGATCGATAGTATAAAATTAATTTACACAATCAGGGCAACACTATTTTTTCTGATTTTATAAAATATTTTAAAATCTTAAGGACAATGATTTGTATCCTGTTTTGTTTCTTGATTATCTTAAGGATTTTTTAGAATTCCCAGCAAAATGATTATTTAGCCTAGAAATAATATGAAAGACAATGGAGGTATTAGAGGGGGAAATGATATAATAAAGTGGCAGAATCAGGGGAAACGGTTATTCTCATTCGAAAATCAACCAAACCCGGAGGAGTGATGAGAAGAATCTCCTGTCTGCTACTGAAACAACCTTCTCCTTCAATCACACACATCCACTTCTCCTTTCCCCCGCACCACCACAATGCCAATTCATTCTCCCGCTCCTTCAAAACCCTACCTCTCCCTCCCCCAGAACTCGTCGAACCTTTCTGCGACCTCTCCGACGTCATCTCCTCCAAGCAAAACCTCCAGCCCTCTCCATGGTTCACACAAATCCTCAACCTCCTCGACAATTCCCCAACCATGGAATCAAATCTCGACTCCTTCTGCCGCCAATTTCTCATCACTCTCTCCCCCTCCTTCGTCGCCCACGCTCTCCGTTCCCTCAACAACCACCACACCGCCCTCCGTTTCTTCACCTGGGCTTCCCACCAACGTAACTACTCACATTCCCTCGATTGCTACGTTTCACTAATCAACCTACTCCTATCCCCCTCAACCACCACCACCTCCGCCGCATTAAATGTTTTTGCAGAACTTCAACGTAGCCGCCTCCCCTTAACATCCCCATCCGCCAACTCCCTCATCAAAAGCTTCGGTAACGCCGGCCTGGTCAATGAACTTCTATTAGTTTGGCGTGGAATGAACGAACAAAACATCCACCCGACTCTTTTCACTTACAACTCCCTTCTTAACGGACTCGTTGGTTCCTCTTTTATCGAATCGGCCGAGCGTGTTTTTGTCGCCATGAAAGAAGGAGGAATAAAGCCTGATGTTGTAACCTACAATACTTTGATCAAAGGGTATTGTAAGATTGGGAAAACACGAAAGGCGACCGAGATGGTTCGCGAAATGGAGGTAATTAATTTGGAGCCTGATGTTGTTACTTATATGACAATAATGCAGGCTTGTTATTCTGAAGGGGATGTTGATTGTTGTTTGAGTCTTTACCATGAGATGGAGGATAAGGGATTTCAAGTTCCTTCTCATTGTTATACTTTGCTCATATGCGGGCTTTGTAAGACGGGGAAGGTTTTAGAAGCTTATGCTTTGTTTGAGAATATGCTTAGAAATGGTTGTAAGGGTAATAAGGCTGTTTACACTGCTTTGATTGATTGTTATGGGAAGAGTGGGAATTCTGATGGGGCTTTAAGGTTGTTTGAGAGGATGAAAATGGATGGGATTGAGCCTGATGAGGTTACTTATGGTGCTATTGTTAATGGGTTATGTAAGAGTGGGAGACTAGAGGAAGCTTTGGGTTATTTTCGGTTTTGTAATGAGAATGCTGTTGTTGTCAATGCTGTTTTTTATTCTAGTTTGATTGATGGACTTGGAAAGGCGGGAAGGGTGGATGAAGCTGAGAAGGTGTTTGATGAAATGGCTGAGAAGGGGTGTCTGCCGGATTCATATTGCTACAATGCGCTCATCGATGGACTTTGTAAGTGTGGGAGGATAGCCGATGCTTTAGTGCTGTTTAAGAGGATGGAGTGTGATGGTTGTGAGCATACTGTGTATACGTTTACTATACTTATCAGTGAGCTTTTCAGGGTGCATAGGAATGAAGAAGCCGTCAAGATGTGGGATTTGATGATTGACAAAGGGATAACGCCGAACGTTGCTTGTTTTAGGGCTCTTTCAATTGGAATGTGTCTTTCAGGAAAAGTTGCGAGGGCTTGTAAAGTGCTGGACGAGCTTGCACCTATGGGGGTTGTTCTTGAAACAGCTTATGAAGATATGATTGGAGCGCTGTGTAAAGCTGGTCGTGTGAAGGAGGCTTGTAAGTTGGCTGATGGAATTGTGGATAGGGGTAGAGAAATACCTGGGAAGATTAGAACTGTGATGATTCATTCCTTAAGAAAAGCTGGGAATGCTGATTTGGCTATCAAGTTGATGCATAGCAAGATTGGTATTGGATATGATCGAATGCGGAGCGTTAAAAAGAGAGTCAAGTTTCAAACCCTTGTTGACAACTGAGATATTTCAGGTGGATATCATGTGGCATTTGGAAACTGGTAAAGGCCAAAGCCAGTTTTAGTTCGAATGTGATGGGAATAGTTAGCTTTAAGGTGTAGTATTTACCCCAAAAGTCAATTTATTTATAAACTGGATAAGAATAGAAGTAATAATAAGTTCTAGTTGCTTGGACTCAAACCATTGCTGCTGGCCTTATCAAAATACAGAGAAATAGTAAAACCACGATGCACTAGTGGGAATCACGAGTTCTCAAATGTTGTACAATTATTATTATAAACTAAACATAGTATGCAGGGACCTGATTGATTATGTACTGCATCTCAAACATAGGAGCCGTGAAAATGTTGATATATTTGGACTAGAATAGGTCAGTATGTCTTTCTTACTAGTTCCCATGTGATGCAGGGGAATAAAATTCCCTAATTGAATTTGAATGAAATGGTTGTGGTTTTAATTTTAACTTGAAGAGTTCATATATTTACTTTTAAATTCACCTGGAATGACTGTGTTCTTAGCTATACCTTTTAAGTTATACCTTTTTTTTTTATCATATAACACATTGTGTTTGTAATATCTTTGGTATTCCCAAGCAGAGTTTATCTTCGGAGTTCCCCAACGGAGTTTATCATCATTATCCTCAGTGGAATCCGTCGTTAAAGTCCTCAGCAGGCCTCTCATCAAAACTTCCTGGTTATAACTAGGAAGTGAAAAATTTGAGTATTTAAACTCTGGTTGGTGATGTACATCACTAGTTTGTATTGAACTTCTCGTCTATAGATATTACCTACCTATGCTTCTGTGTCTCAATCTCTGGCAAAGGCCAACTGAACTATTTATCTTTTATACATTATTATGCAACCTGTGGTTTTGCAACCCCTATCAGATACTGGATACAGATACACTGAGTACAAAACATCCTTGGTGATTAATATAGAAGTATAGATGCTGGTGAGAAGTTTATTCATTATCTCAAACCTTTGTAACTGTGCTGTTCTTTTTCAGGGTAAAGTATACATTACCGAATGTTTAAGTGCAATTTGTAGTTTTTAAAAACATTTTAACAATACTAGTTTGACTGCTTTGTTAATGCCAGCAAAAGTTTAAGAGCAATATTTGTAATATAACTTAACACTTGGCCCCTTGATGGACAGGTTCTTGGTCTTCTAGGTGGAGGCCAGCCAAACAGTTCTGCTATTAATTCAGACAAGGCTGTAAAGACAGAGCTTGCCGTCGTTGCTGAACTGCCTGACTTGATAGACACTGGCTATTCAAATGACAACACAACCAATATTACAGATGAACTAAGTATAGGGAATTTGACGTCATCTGCTCCTCTGGTTGATGACTTATTTGGAGATGTAAGTGGCTCTATTGGAACTAGTCATGAACTGAAAAATGATGACGACCCATTTGCGGATGTATCATTTCACACAGGTGAGCGAAAAGAACAGGCAGATGATTTATTTTCAGGGATGACAGTTGGCGAAGATAAACAGGGTGACCATGAGAGTCACAAGCAGGGGAGTCAAAGTGATCCTCAACTTTTTGACATTTTTGGTTCCAGTTCCAGGCAAGGAAATCATAACGAGTCTGTTAATGATTTAATGGGTGGTTTGTCAATAAATGAAAATACCTCAACTATGAAGCATAAGGGAACATCTTCTGCAGTGCCATCTGAATCTTTATTTTCAGGTTTAAACAACCATACCCCCGACAATACTCTAGGCGGTATGTTGGGCTCTCAGCCAGTTGGGTTCAATGTAAATCCAATGTTTCCCACTGGGCATCTTCCTTATAATATGCAGCCTGGTGTTATGTTGAACCAACCATATCCTTCTCAACCTCTTAATTATGGTGCCATGGGGTCTCTCTTGGCTCAGCAGCAATTACTGGCAACAATGGCCAATTTCCAACACCTTAATAATGTCAATATGCGAGATGATGGCATTGCTCAAATGGTTGGACCTAATGGAACTACCCCTTTACCAGACATATTTCAACCCAATTTTGCATCTCAAACTTCCAACTCAATGATCAATAATTCAAAGAAAGAAGATAATACTAAAGCATTTGATTTTATCTCGGTAAGTCTGAATCTAAATGCTTTTATGCGTACCTTCCATTGGTTTAGTTTTTGTTAATGGTCTGGTTTGAGTTTGCTGCTTTGTGTTGTGAACTGCTTTTACTAATCTTTTAAGTGTTAATATTTTCAACTTCAATGAAATTCATAATAAATCATGTTAAAACCAAATTATAAAGGACTTGGATTTAAATGTCACCGGACATTTTTAAGATAGGATATTATGACGCCATCTGGTTTGATACATACAGTCTACATTGTTGGTTGTTATAATTAAAAAGAAATGAATATAGTGTGTTTTGGGTAGAGCCGAAGGTGGTATGTTGATGATACTTTGGCTTTTGCCTTGTTTCATTATATTGATTGCTCTTAATGTAACTGTCTAGCTGTTAGGTGGATTAACATGACATTATCACTTTTGTTTCATGCTTGTAGGACCATCTTGCCTCTGCCCGAGATTCAAGAAGAGTGATTTGAAATTTAGATTTTGTGCTTCGTGGAGGATATTTAAGGTTTTGTAGTATTGGATTGACATTAATAGATCAAATGTTTTTTTAGTTTCATTTCCTGTGCAAAGGTGGAGCAACATATGATATTCTACATGTTTATGTTAATAACATAATAAAATGAGAAACTTTTTGGACATGGAATAAGAGGTTTAAAATGGTTGCAGTTCTGATGTTTTTTGGATAAGCATTTAGCAGGATAATGTTGTCTATTATTTTATTTTCATGAGTATTTTTGTTTCTTAGTTATTGTCAGAGTTATCGATAGCAGCACTATCCTGGGAGAGTGGCGCAGAGTCCGGCCGCAATGGCGTGACAATTCGCATCTCAGATCTCAGATTGCGTCTGCTTGGCCTGGAAAAACCATATTTACCCTTAAAAAATGTTGGAGGAGTTTTTCCTGTAATTTTGCTAAGTTTGCCCTATAACTCAGAAAAACTGTGTTTCTCACTTTTTATTGTCTTCTCATTTTTTCATGAGTTTCTTATTTTTTATCGTTTTCTCACTTTCTCAAGCGTTTCTCATTTCTCATCTTACTTAAAGTGTTTTCCACTTTCTCATGTGTTTCTCACTTCTCAACTTATTCTCACTTTCTCGCAAGTTGTCACATCTCATTGTCTTATTTATATACTCTTCTTTATTTAATAATAATAATGATTATTTTTCTTTCTTCTGTTTCTTTTCTTCTTATATCTTTACTCTTCTCACTTTGTTTTGTTTAAAATAATAATTTATTTGTTTCTTAACTCATTCATAATTCTTCATAATTCTATTCCTTGATTTTCGGAATAACTCTTCATATCTATATTTTGATTTTCTTAATAACTCTTAATCTCTATATTACATATTTTAAAGTAATAATAATTTTTCATTTTTTTAAAGCAGTAATATTTTATATATTTTATAGATTATTCACTTAATCAACATTGATAACTCTTGTTAATTTGAGATTTTGCTAGTGCATGTGTGAAACAACTTTAACTCACACTAGGTTACACAAAAAACTTAGAATAATTGCTTTATGATTTTGTGTCATAATCTTATTAATTAAAGTTATTAAGTCTTTAAGACCCAAAATTAAGGTTAATTTAATAATTATAAATATTAATTTATTTTTTATTTTAATTTTAATTTAAAAAATAGTAACCCAATAATTTCATAATCTCTTTATCATTTCTAATTAATTAATATATTAAAAATGGCTTCTCCCTTCGCAATCAGTTTTTCTCGTCAAATATACTCAATAAATTTAAGTAATTGAAATATCTTATTAATAATTTTATAATCTCTTTATCATTTCTAATTAATTAATATATTAAAAATGATTAAAATGTAAGAGATAATTATTTAATATATCATTTCTAATTAATTAATATATTATGAACTATTAATTAAATTATTAAATTGAAATAACTTAAAATTCTCAATTTCTCTATCTTTTCAATCAATTTTTTAATCAAACATACTTAATAAAACAGATCATTTTATTTAAGTAATTGAAATAATTAATTTAAATAAAATAAAATAAATCACGAGTCTTCTATTTTGGTCCCTTAATAATATGTCATGGTTCAGTTTGATTCCTTAACTTTTTTCATCGACTTTTATTTCATATGCGCTTTCTTTCGCGTTTTCATCTCCGTCTTTATCTTGGTCAAGTCGTTTCGTCTCATTCTCCATGAATACAAAGCATTCTTCTTCGCAAACGAACCTAAAAAAATCTGAAAGGGTCACGTGTATACAGTAGCTCGTGTTGGATCACGTGTATACAGTAGCTCGTGTTAAGTTATCATTAAAAAATATATTGGGTAAATATGTTTTATTAAATTAATTAATTAAATATATATTTCCTATTTTTAGTTATTAATTGAATAAATAGCTCCTATTTTTAGTCATTTAAGTTTAAAAAACTGTTTTAAGATTTACCTACGAATTTAATTAAAATAACTTTTTAATTAGGTTATAATTAAAAAAGATATTGAATAAATATGTTTTATTAAATTATTTAATTAAATAGGTATCTTCTATTTTTAAGCCATTAATTAAATAAACATCTCCTATTTATTAACTATTTTAAGTTTGAAAAACTGTTTAAATTAATTAAATAGGTAGCTCCTATTTTTTAAGCCATTTTGAAGTTTGAAACACTGTTTTTTTTAAGGTTTACATATGTGTGTTTATTTAAACATTTATTAGTTATAAGTTTTCAATTTAATAATTTAAGTAAAATAGTTTTTTAATTAGCTTCAATTAAGTTTAAAAATAGAATTGATCAAAGTAATTGAAGTTAGTTCCAAAATTTATATTCAATTTTTTATTATTTATCTTTAAATAATTTAAACATGGTTTTTAATATCACATGATATTGTTGTTGAGAAAATTAATTAGAAAATACATGTTCTTAGTCTTTAAAAAGTTCCTGAATACAATAATGCATAAGAAATCTTTACTATTGAATTGCTTCTCCTAAATTAAAAGGTATATGAATATGACATTTTTAAACTTTTAATTATTTTAAATTATATTTATATCTCACAAAATGTTTTAATTATTTTTTTAGTTGTCAAAGATTTAAGTTTCTATAAAGAAAGAAGGATATCAAATAACATGGAAAATCTGTTGAGTTAGGGGCTTTTTATATCATAGAAAATATTTTGGTCTCAATGAATAATGAAAAATATAAATCAACCAATAATAAATACAAACTTACTTTCATTCCAACCATTGTACCGAAGAAAAAAACTTCTACCAAAATTTCTCCAAATCATTTTAATTTCACAAAATTCACATGAATCTTCATTGCGGGCAGTGAATACAGTGTTTTGATGGGTTAGATTTTTTAGGATATATATTTGAAGAAGGTTGAACGTTTGCAAGAAATACTTTTGTGAACAATGTGATGCATTAGTCAAGGCTACTATAAAGTTTTTTGTTTTTGTTTTTTATATTATTAACTTTTACTCTATTTTTTATATCAATTTATTATGTATATATGATATCATAATCATTATTATTCTCATCAGGTTTAAAATGCATAGATGTTTAAAATGAGAGTGGATCAACTATATTTGTTTTGTTTGACAGAGTTCTTTCACATTATTTAGACAAAACTGCAAAAAGAATTATTAATTCTGAAACATATATAATTTTTTTGATGTTTATATATTTTATTTTATTTTTTAATTCTATTTTAACAATGAATATTTTTGTTATTGTAAGTAATAATTTAATAACAAAAGAATGTCATACATGATTATTCATAAGAAATTGACACAATATGAAGATGCTTTTCAAAATAGAAATCAACAATAAAAATATTGAACACATTTTTTCAACATCAAAAAAATATTAGAACATACTAAAATTAATGAGTTTAAAAAGAATATCACATAGACATTCATATGACTTCTCAAATCAACGAAAAATGTGCTCATATCAATATTGATGAGAAATTAAATTTTGAAGTAATTTTTAACGACAAATTAAATTAATATTTTATTAATTAAAAATATAAATACTATAACAATAATGATATTAATATTTGTATATATCTTATTAAATATTATTATTTTTTTATATATTTTATATTAACGAGGATAATACTTCTGTCGACAAGTGTTTAAAAAAAAAGAACTACTAACTGCTATGTGATATACATTCATGATGCAAAAATTTGTAATTAAACAAAAATCTGAAGACTAAATCTTTTTAGGGTGGACTTATTAGTTTCATTAACTTCATTTATTTAATTTTTTGGTTATTTTTTTATTTTAATATTTTTAATTATTTGTTTTCAATTTTTTTAGAATAGATTCATTACGTTGGTTAAGTTCATTTGTTTAAAAATTTAATTATTTTTTTAACATTTGTTTGTTATAATAATTTGTTTTAATTTATTTTAAGAATTATTTTAATTATATTATTGTTTTTTTGTCCATTGTAATGTATTTAATAAATATTTCATTTGATTATATATTTTAAACATACATATATTTTGATAAATATTATTAAAAGTCACCATCAGTAAAACATTGAAATAAACTTCTCAAACATATTTATTAGGTTTAATTATAATTTTGGTCATGTTTTCTTTTTTTTGTTGATGCTACGTCCCCAATTTATTCTACTCCCCTGTACATAATTGTTTAAAAAATTATGAATTAAAAAAAAAACTGATTTTCAATATCTTTTTAGTGAATCTTTTTTTTTTTCTTTCCGTTTTCTTCATGTTACGCCCCCAATTTATTCTACTCCCCTATGCATAATTGTTTTTTGTTATTTATTCATGAGAAAAGAAGTAATGCATTGGAAGTATAAAATAGTTTTTACACTTTCAACTAATTATAATTATGTATTTAATTATATCTTATTTTTATTTTTATTTTTTTTTAATGATATGATAAATTGTTTATTTTCTATTGGTTGTTGTGTAAAAAAACTTTACGCTAAATGTCATGTTTCCAACAAGACTTATAATGCACTAAATTGTTGTGTAAAAAAACTTATAATGTCATGTTTCCAACAAGACTTATAATGTACTCCATTCGTTTCAAAATGATTTCTTTAAAATTTTTGCACACATATTAAAAAATACAATAATATTGTAATAAGACACTACATTTTTATAAAATTAATCTTATTAATATATTGAAAATAATGTTAAGAGTAAAAAGTAAAGAGCACAATTAGAAAAATGATAATTATTACTATATTGAAAAGTAAAAATGATAGTAATTTTGAAACAAATTTTATTTATTAAAGCGACAGTCATTTTGAAACAGAAGGAATAATTTACAAAGAAATTTTACAAAATTTGAGATAGCCCAGTTTTACATGTAAATATTTGATCTTATCGGATCAGAATTGGACCGTCACAACTGGCTTCGGGCTGAGCTTGAGTGAGATTGGGGGGGGGGGGGGGGGGGGGGGGGTTACCTGCAAGACACTTCGATGGTAAAGTGAGAAGCGGAATGAGCAAGCAAGTATGAGTTTTAGATGTGTGAATGAATACCCGACCCTCTTGTGAGAGAGGGTATTTATAGCCCCCAGCGCTGGGCCAATCACTACAAGAAAATTAGTGTTTAACGACACAAAAATTGCGACAGTTATGTGATAACTGTCGTAATTGACATATAGAGACAGTGTTTACGACAGTTGACACCAACCGTCCCTAATATTTATTTTGCGACGGTATATTTAACCATCATAATATTATTATTACGACGGTAAAACAACCGTCGGCCCCCATTTAACACTTTTAACATTGATTTTTCACCAACAACTAGTCACGACGGTAAAATTAACCGTCCTAAAAGGCATATCACGACGGTAAAGCACCCGTCGCACCCTTAAACCTTTCACGACGGTAAAATTATCCGTCCTAAAATTCATTTCACGACGGTAAAACAACCGTCGCACCCAAAACCTTTAAAAAAGTTTAAAATTAAAATATAATTTATTCTGATACAAAATTGTGATTGATCGATAGTATAAAATTAATTTACACAATCAGGGCAACACTATTTTTTCTGATTTTATAAAATATTTTAAAATCTTAAGGACAATGATTTGTATCCTGTTTTGTTTCTTGATTATCTTAAGGATTTTTTAGAATTCCCAGCAAAATGATTATTTAGCCTAGAAATAATATGAAAGACAATGGAGGTATTAGAGGGGGAAATGATATAATAAAGTGGCAGAATCAGGGGAAACGGTTATTCTCATTCGAAAATCAACCAAACCCGGAGGAGTGATGAGAAGAATCTCCTGTCTGCTACTGAAACAACCTTCTCCTTCAATCACACACATCCACTTCTCCTTTCCCCCGCACCACCACAATGCCAATTCATTCTCCCGCTCCTTCAAAACCCTACCTCTCCCTCCCCCAGAACTCGTCGAACCTTTCTGCGACCTCTCCGACGTCATCTCCTCCAAGCAAAACCTCCAGCCCTCTCCATGGTTCACACAAATCCTCAACCTCCTCGACAATTCCCCAACCATGGAATCAAATCTCGACTCCTTCTGCCGCCAATTTCTCATCACTCTCTCCCCCTCCTTCGTCGCCCACGCTCTCCGTTCCCTCAACAACCACCACACCGCCCTCCGTTTCTTCACCTGGGCTTCCCACCAACGTAACTACTCACATTCCCTCGATTGCTACGTTTCACTAATCAACCTACTCCTATCCCCCTCAACCACCACCACCTCCGCCGCATTAAATGTTTTTGCAGAACTTCAACGTAGCCGCCTCCCCTTAACATCCCCATCCGCCAACTCCCTCATCAAAAGCTTCGGTAACGCCGGCCTGGTCAATGAACTTCTATTAGTTTGGCGTGGAATGAACGAACAAAACATCCACCCGACTCTTTTCACTTACAACTCCCTTCTTAACGGACTCGTTGGTTCCTCTTTTATCGAATCGGCCGAGCGTGTTTTTGTCGCCATGAAAGAAGGAGGAATAAAGCCTGATGTTGTAACCTACAATACTTTGATCAAAGGGTATTGTAAGATTGGGAAAACACGAAAGGCGACCGAGATGGTTCGCGAAATGGAGGTAATTAATTTGGAGCCTGATGTTGTTACTTATATGACAATAATGCAGGCTTGTTATTCTGAAGGGGATGTTGATTGTTGTTTGAGTCTTTACCATGAGATGGAGGATAAGGGATTTCAAGTTCCTTCTCATTGTTATACTTTGCTCATATGCGGGCTTTGTAAGACGGGGAAGGTTTTAGAAGCTTATGCTTTGTTTGAGAATATGCTTAGAAATGGTTGTAAGGGTAATAAGGCTGTTTACACTGCTTTGATTGATTGTTATGGGAAGAGTGGGAATTCTGATGGGGCTTTAAGGTTGTTTGAGAGGATGAAAATGGATGGGATTGAGCCTGATGAGGTTACTTATGGTGCTATTGTTAATGGGTTATGTAAGAGTGGGAGACTAGAGGAAGCTTTGGGTTATTTTCGGTTTTGTAATGAGAATGCTGTTGTTGTCAATGCTGTTTTTTATTCTAGTTTGATTGATGGACTTGGAAAGGCGGGAAGGGTGGATGAAGCTGAGAAGGTGTTTGATGAAATGGCTGAGAAGGGGTGTCTGCCGGATTCATATTGCTACAATGCGCTCATCGATGGACTTTGTAAGTGTGGGAGGATAGCCGATGCTTTAGTGCTGTTTAAGAGGATGGAGTGTGATGGTTGTGAGCATACTGTGTATACGTTTACTATACTTATCAGTGAGCTTTTCAGGGTGCATAGGAATGAAGAAGCCGTCAAGATGTGGGATTTGATGATTGACAAAGGGATAACGCCGAACGTTGCTTGTTTTAGGGCTCTTTCAATTGGAATGTGTCTTTCAGGAAAAGTTGCGAGGGCTTGTAAAGTGCTGGACGAGCTTGCACCTATGGGGGTTGTTCTTGAAACAGCTTATGAAGATATGATTGGAGCGCTGTGTAAAGCTGGTCGTGTGAAGGAGGCTTGTAAGTTGGCTGATGGAATTGTGGATAGGGGTAGAGAAATACCTGGGAAGATTAGAACTGTGATGATTCATTCCTTAAGAAAAGCTGGGAATGCTGATTTGGCTATCAAGTTGATGCATAGCAAGATTGGTATTGGATATGATCGAATGCGGAGCGTTAAAAAGAGAGTCAAGTTTCAAACCCTTGTTGACAACTGAGATATTTCAGGTGGATATCATGTGGCATTTGGAAACTGGTAAAGGCCAAAGCCAGTTTTAGTTCGAATGTGATGGGAATAGTTAGCTTTAAGGTGTAGTATTTACCCCAAAAGTCAATTTATTTATAAACTGGATAAGAATAGAAGTAATAATAAGTTCTAGTTGCTTGGACTCAAACCATTGCTGCTGGCCTTATCAAAATACAGAGAAATAGTAAAACCACGATGCACTAGTGGGAATCACGAGTTCTCAAATGTTGTACAATTATTATTATAAACTAAACATAGTATGCAGGGACCTGATTGATTATGTACTGCATCTCAAACATAGGAGCCGTGAAAATGTTGATATATTTGGACTAGAATAGGTCAGTATGTCTTTCTTACTAGTTCCCATGTGATGCAGGGGAATAAAATTCCCTAATTGAATTTGAATGAAATGGTTGTGGTTTTAATTTTAACTTGAAGAGTTCATATATTTACTTTTAAATTCACCTGGAATGACTGTGTTCTTAGCTATACCTTTTAAGTTATACCTTTTTTTTTATCATATAACACATTGTGTTTGTAATATTTGTTCTTTTAAAGTTGTCATAAATGAGCTTCTGTGCCTGTATGAATTAACCAAATGTTCTTAATGACCTTGTTTTTTTTTTGGATAGAAAAATCAGTCTTATCGGTGGATGCTTTAGAGAAAATGATGGAGGACCCAACAGTGCAGAAGATGGTTTATCCGTAATATTAGCTCCTTTTATCTTTTAATAATGATTATTTTTCATTTTTAGTGAGCACAGATAAGTTTTAGGATAAATGCCAGTCCTGGAGGAATTAGGATAACAAAACCTAACATTTAGAATTAGGATAAATGCCAGTCCTGGAGGAAATTAAATGACCATTCTTCTGCTTTTGTACAATAACCTTTTGTTTGAGTTTACTTATGACTGGATTCATGGTCACTACGTTGATTTTAGACCTAAAGTTGCACAGAAATGTAAATCTTATTTGTTATTTCTCACTAAAGTGTCATTCTATGTGCCGCAGTTATATAAATCAATGTATTTTCTAGTAATATATTGGTAAACTGTACTCTCTGGCCACTAGGGATTCACGCATCCTTTCTTTTTCTCCTATATATTTGGTTTCAGAAACAACATGGGTGGAGGCACTGAATGGGACAGTCGAATGATGGACACCTTAAAGAATTTCGACCTTAATAGTCCTGCTGTTAAACAACAATTTGGTATGTCTCACATTTTACAAGAGATGTCTTTTTTGAGAGATGGATCAATTCTTTAATTCTTTCTACATTCTCCTTTCCTGTTTTCTAACATTTTATATTATCACTTTCATCAGATCAAATTGGGCTTTCTCCCGAAGAAGTCATTTCAAAGATTATGGCCAATCCTGATTTTGCCATGGCATTTCAAAATCCTAGAGTTCAAGAAGCTATCATGGATGTAAGTTCTACTTTAAGTACCACTTCATTAATATTTCATATCAAATCTCTGAGTGCTTCTTGTTTTGTGAAGGTATCATTTTTGGCTTTTCATCACTTTATCATTCATTGTTGTACATTTGTAGTGCCTTTTCATAATTTACTTTGAAGTCTGCCCCTGTCAACCTAGATAATCCTCTTGTTGCATTAGAGTTATCATATGTTATGTTATACTACAGATGATGATTTACTAAGTAATTTCTTTTTCTAACTATTGCAGGAGTATCCTGATTACGTACCATACATCACTCCGATGTTCTTTTGTGATGATTGGCTCAACTTGTATCTCGATAACTTTAGAATGAATACTTATTCCGACAAAGACCAGCAAAATAAGGAAATATGTTGCTCTGACTATCGTTTTGTTTACATGGGAGTAAAAGGTGTGATTTTAGTTGGGAAGAAATCTTGAAATGACCATGAATCTCAGATGATTCTGCACTTTTCTATGCGAAGAGATGAGCAATCCAACAGTAACTTCTTACTTTCACTTCTTCTGGCAGGATCTTGGACTCCTCTACATGCTGATGTTTTCAGAGCAGCTCCGAAGGCTCTTCAAATTGATGAAGATGGTGAGAAAATCAGATAGCAATCTCTTCAGAAACTTAGGTACGAATACCTCACTTTCTCACTTTGAATTCACATTTCATTGGTAATTCATCTTCTTCAAATCTCTTCCACGAATTTGCTTCTTGTTTTTACTACAGTGTTATATGGAATTATTGTCCTGTGTGATTTGAAAATCATTGAACATGATGATGATGCAGTTTTGATGAAGTATGCGTGATGTTGATTATCGTTGTTGAGAAGCCGATTCGGACTTGTTGATGAAAATGATTTTGTGTAGAGAAGCAGTTAGAGAGTGAGTTTTGGAGAGATGAAGTTCTGAGAAGAGTTTCGGATGTGTGCAGAACGAATTGTTGAAGTTTTAGAAGTGAAATCGTTGAAGACTCATAGAAGATTCTTAAAGCTACATAAGAATTTTTCATGAATTTAACACAAAATTCATGAACGTTTTTAATCTAAAGGTTGAATAGGGTGTGACTTGGATAATCTACTATTGATATTAACGTGTGTTTGATTATGGGAAAATAATTGATTTTGAACGATTTGATTTTGTAAAATTGATTCTGGTTAAAGTGCAAATAGGACTATGAGTAAAAAAAGTGCAAGTTTAGAGGATACAGTGTTCTGTTTTCTAACTTAATTTTTCTCTCAATCTATTCTACAGGTTGGATTTGGGAAATGGGAAAACTCTTGATCTTGAACGGTGTTCCCGATCGAAGCTTCGAAAACAATGCATAAAGTATCTTGGACCTGTATGTGCATGCAACTTCTGCTTTTCTACAGAATTGTTTTATACTATTGACTTATATTCAAATTCTGCATAATTTCAAAAGTTATGGTATTTTCCTGCTTTTCTTACTGGTTAATTGTTTTTTACAGCAAGAGAGGGAGAACTATGAATATGTTGTCTGCGATGGAAAAATTATCAACAACCAATCTGGAGATTTTCTTCATACCAAAAAGGATTCTGAAGATGCTAAGTGGATATTTGTAATGAGCACCGAGAAGAAACTTTATGCTGGAAAGGTAACAATTAGTTTAAGCTATGTTATTCTTTCTTGTTCAATTGAGTCCTATTGATACATTGTTATAACCTCGCAGAAAAAGAAGGGGTTGTTCCATCATTCTTCTTTTTTGGCTGGTGGAGCTACCTTGGCTGCTGGACGGCTCGAAGCCGAGGATGGGGTTCTGAAGGTATAATTAACATTACATGATCGAGTTTTTCTTACAGTGTGACTATGCACGGTGTAATATATATTTCAATTTATGTGCGATGACAAAATTGGTTGATTTTTGTTGGTTTGATTTTTCAGTCCATCTCTGCATATAGTGGACACTATCGGCCAACAGACGAAACACTCGACGCGTTCTTATCATATCTCAGGGAAAATGGTGTCAATCTTGTTACCTTTCATGAATTTTGTGTAGGTATGCGTAGCTTGGACCAAATGGTAGTCAAGGAAGGATCATGGTCCTAGCATGGAAGTTTAACACAAAATCACTTAACACTAAGGACTTTCATGAATTTTGTAGAATATTGTTGTACCCCAAAATTTGCCCTCCCATTTCCTCAACATTTTTTCATCACAAAACCCTTGGAGTTCAAGATTCAGTTAGGGTTTCCTCTGCTCAAGACTTCTCCTTGCACTGTTGACCCAAATTAGGGTTTGTGTTTGCACAAAGATATTTTGACCTAAAAAGCCTAAGATGACTTTCATGCTTCATATTGGACTCCCAAGTTTCTCCATACCAAGTTTCAAGTCTTGATTCCAAGTTTTGCCCAGTCAATTGGACAGTTGACCTAGAAATCAGCTGTGTTGGGGAAAAGTCAACTGTGGCCAATTGACAGTCAAACCTCATGAAATTTGATCCACATCAACATATTGAACTCATATGGACCATTTGATCAAGTTTGGATCATAATTCCACAAGAAATTTGATCAGATCACCAAAAGGGCAAAATGGTCATTTTTAGGGTTTTGACTGCACAAAGGCAATTTTTGACTGTTTGACCTAGCCAATGGCAAATCAAGCTCACATATGGACTCAAGGACCCCATGAAATTATCTTGACATGCTCATCAAGCTCAAAAGATCCCAAGTACACAAGATTGACAGTTGAATTTCCCAGTCAATTGATCAATTTTGACTGTATACTGAAAAGTCAAACTTTGACTTTTTGGTCAAAATCAAGAGTCAAGATTCATTTTTCATCAAAACATGCCAAATCATGAAACTTGTTCATCAAGAAATCTCAAAATGCAAATTAGGGTTTGAAAATGGAATTTTTCATAACTTAGAATTTTTCTAAGTTATGAAAAACCCTAATTTTTTCCCAACTTTGCCCCATCTTTTCACCATGATCCATTTGGATTCAAACAAAAGTCAAAACATGAAAGTTGTAGCTTGTTGCATAATCTACAACTTTGATTCACAAAGTTTTCTCATTTGAAGCTTGTATCTCAAGTTACAATTTTTGAATAAGGGCACTAAACCATCTTTTAACTTAGTGAAATTTAACCTATTTTGACAAGGTTTTCTACCCTACTTCAAGGCCACTTTTCATACCCTTCCCCTTGGAATTTTGATTTGAATTTCAAAGATGGATTGTAGTACACATTCCAAGCTTTCCAAAATGTCCAAGAACTCATCAAACAACCTCCTAACTTGAGAGATTCGAATTTCACAAGTTGGCAAAAATTCACTTTTTGTTCTTCATCAAGACATGTTCATAATCTTGCCAATTTGAAATCAGTTTGCTTTATGCTTGATTACAGGCCCTTGAACCATTTCATACTCAATAATTTAATGCATATTCAATGTGTTAAGGTGTTGTTCTTTGAGTGCAAGCATTGTATGCAAGATTAATCCTAAACTAGATAAAGTGGAATTTCCATTTTTGAAAAGGTTAGCTTTATGTCAAGTTTGTAATCCAAGCAAGTACAAGCAAAATCCTCTTGGCACAAGATTATGGACAAGTTGCTCTGATCAAGAGAAGATTATGCAGCAGGATTAGAGGCCCCTACTGACCTAAAAACAAAAGTGACCATTGCTTGCTTCATTTTCAAGTAACATTGCATAACTTATCACATCTCTCATCTCAGCTTAGAGACACAACACAAAAGCTATCAAACACATTCCATAGACAAAATCCAAGCTAACACACGAGCCCTTGCCATCTGAAACACTCCCATTGCTCTAATCACCTCAAAACTGCACAAACAGGGGAGCCCCTGCAGTTTGAGTGCAAACTCCCAATCCCTTCGAGCATTTTGATCCAAACCTTTTCCTCTACCTTCCCTACAACATATGCAAGCTAACCATGTCCTAAAATCAGACCTGTAACACCTCCAAGCCACTTCACCATTTTTAATTTTCTGTTTTGCAGTTGGAGTTCACTAGCTCGATTCAGGGAGTTTCAAGACAAAGTAGGAATTGGAAAAGCATCCTTACACTTCAAGGAAGCTGTACAAGTCATCATTTCACTCTGAAACATCCTCCATTGCCAAGCTCGATTCCAACTGAACAGGTATATTCATGGAGTTCTATCTCTCTTATTAGGCATTGTTAGCTTTAGGTTTTTGAAGAAAACATGTCACAATCACAGCCCTGAACATGCTCATATGATTAGATTTCATTTATGTTTCGTGTGCTTAGAGAATTTCATGTCTGAACATTGATGAAAAGTTAGGTCAGAAATTGGGGGAGGAGAAATTCTCCCTCATCTTAGAGAGATAGGTCAAGTTATTTATATGGTTGAAACCGTCTCTTCATGCTGAACATTTCTTGTGTTATGAGTTTTTGCTGAAAGGCCAAGAATCAGGAGTTAGACATTGAGGAACAGGGGCGCGCGTTTTTCAAATGTTTGAAGCTGGAGGTTGAAGACAATGATCAGTGGGCTGGGCCTGTGTTATTTCACTTTTCACACCACCTTTTTTGATTCACACCCCCCTGAGCCCATTTGTTCATTTCTTAACATTTTTGACTTTTTCTTTTTTGGTTGACTTTGTTTATTTTTTCTCATGGCATTAAAACATTAAAAATATTTTTTTCATCATTTTTTGCATTTATTGCATATTTATTTGTTTATTTTCTTTGTTTATACATAAGTATATATATATATACTATTATTAGAATAAATATAAAAATGATGTAAATACAATTTTTATTTTTATTTACTTTCTGAAAATATTTCATACAAAAAATACTCTTTTATTTATTTTATCTAAATATTAAATAAATATTTATTTTGTGTATAATACATATTTAGGGTTTAATATATATATATGGTTATCAATATATTTAAGTTAAAAATATAAAAATATTTGAATTTTTATTTTTTATTAATATTTGATACAAAAATACTTTTCCCCATAATATACTTCATTTTACATTATTTTTATAAATAATAAATAAATAGTTGTATTAAATTAGATAATAATACCTTTTCTTTAAAATTAGGGTTTTTTGCCCTAAATTCAAAATACTCCAAAAAATAATACATTTTTTCATTTTCTTTTCTCTTTTACATAAATAATATTTTCTCATACATATAAAAACTTTCTTTTTGCATTTCACACATTTATTTAATTTCCATTTAATTATGCAATTTATTTACCTTGCAAATATTCAAAATGATGTAATAATTTAGATTTAAATTCTTGTCAATATCCCCCATTTGAACATTTGTACCCCCCTTCCCATATTTGGTTTTGTAATAGCTTAGTAATTTTAATTTCGCACTTTATTGCTTTCTAATGATAACATGTTAGAATTAGGGTTTATATGCGAAAAAACGATAAAAAATAGTGTGACCTAATACAAGATAAACAAGCATGAAAATGGACACACAAATCACACTTGCACCCCCTAGGGTATTCCACTTGTTGCCTTCAAATAAATGGGCCATATTGTATGTTGAACTTCTTTGGGCAAAGCAAACAGTTTGAATGATCATGGTCCCTCGATAAAACTTTTCAAAACAAACAAAAACAAATGATCAAGTCCCTTAAAGAAAATTGCCCAAAGACATTTAACGCCGTTGCAATTATGGTCCATACGATGACCCGCGCCTGTCCCTTTCACATCCTAACACAAGGTTGCCCACCAAATACAATGGTGGAGCAAACTTGTTAAAAGGGTTAAAGTATAGCAATGATCTTTTGAGAAATTTAGGAGTAGATAACCTCTTAGTTACTTGAATTAACTTGCAAAAACAAAACACTTGCCTAATTTCAAAACCACAACCCACAACACTTTCAAAACAACTTTCAAAAACAAATGAAAACCTTTTCAAAAGATATACATCTTTGTATACATCCCCACATGGATCATTACAAAGGCTGCCACCACATTGGCATCTTTTCAAAACATTTTCAAACCCACACACTCAAGCACCATTCCAAACAATTGAAAACAAAAGGCAAGTGATCTAAGCAAGTAACTAAGAGCCCATGGATAACCATGGATAGAAAGGGTGCTAATACCTTCCCTTTCTATAATCTACTCCCCGAACCCAAGAAAACATCTCAAAAGGTTTTTGCTGTGCTTTTTAACCTTTCCTTAGGATAAAATAAAAAGTCGGTGGCGACTCTTGCTAACCGCAACATTTGCGAATACAAACGCAAACCTCAAGTCAGTTCTCCCACCGTATCACAAATATTGTAACATTTTTTGTAATTCTCTCAAGTTGTAGCAAACCAATGTAAATATTAAAATGAAATTTGGCCTTTGATGATATTTGAATTTTTCTTGTTTATTGGTAAAATTTGCACTTCTTTTTACCTTTGATCACATTTTTTTGATATTATTGATGATTATTTGATATTAAATGTTTTTATTGTAATTAACTTTATTATGTTGAAAAGTGATAGAAAATAAAATAAAAATACTATAAATAAAAAAATATTAAAGTAAATAATAATTTAAATATAATAGTAAAATATTATAGTAAAATAATATTATATTTAAAATTATTTTACTAAATAATAATTTAAATAAAAATATTATTTGAAATTTATAAATCAGATTACGACGGTTAAAACCGCCGCAATTTCTAACCTACGGCGGTAGAATAACCGTCGCAAACAACAACAAAAACAAAAAATAAAGTCAAATTCACGACGGTATATAACCGTCGCTATCTGTTGTGCGTGACAGTTTTTGCAACCGTCGCGAAATAGGCTAGGGACGCACGATTCTGCGACGGTACTTCTACCGTCGTAGATTGTAAATTGCGACGGTTTTAACCGTCGTAATCAGCCAAAATAACCGTCCCAATCTATCATTTTTCTTGTAGTGAATGTCCCCACTATTGGGCCACGCAGAGGCCCAACAATGGGAACTGCCAGGGTTTACGTGAGTATGGAGTCCAGCAAGTGGACTCCCCCCCGGTCAACTGCTCCGCGAGAATAGGGCTGGACCCGAGATTCCCGGAGGGCAGTTTGGGATGTCTGTCAAGAGGATGTGGGCTGCATCCCTCAACGGTTGGATGGAGAGTTGGCCCACAGTCCCTAACTTGGGCTGTCTTTTGGTTTCTCGCTCGTAGGGAAAATGTATGCCCAGTCCAGATCAGGAGCCCCCCAAGTTATTGTCCTCGAGTTAGAGGGCAATGACTTGAGTTCAGCTCTCGCTATCGAAGACTTGGTCGAGGTAGAGGGCCAAAG